TTTATCAATTGTGTATATGTAACCTATGCATAAAAACTTGACTTCAGAGTGTAGTGTCCACCAGTTTTGGATACTCTATTGTGCAAAATTCTGAATAAAGGGGAGATAAAGCTCGATCTGATCCTAACATAAGTTAAGATACAGGACGGGACCAGAACTTGGAGGTACAGAGCCCTGGCCTTTCAAGTCGCTGCACGATCAGAGACGAAATCTTTGTTTCAATATGGAAATGGATGTCTTAAACCCAGGGCGATTTGCGGCCTTCCGGCAGCATTCCCAAATCTCTGGCATTTGAGACCACGTCTCGGATATTTCATAAGTGTTTTAAGAGTGTGCGTGCCTGTCAGACTCAGAGGTGGGGAATGGGGACGGCGAGCGAGATTCAGGCGGGGATCAGGAACATCCTCCACGGGCTGGCTGACGAGGCTGGAGGGGACGAGCGCCTCCCAGGCCCGGGGTGATCCGCGGCCGCGCGGCTCAGCTCAGCCCGCCCCCGGCGCCCCGCAGCCCCTCGTCCGGGCTTGCAGCCGGGGAGAGAGGCCGCTGCCCCGGTCCTACCTCCGCCGCGCCTCCCCCGCGCCGCGGCCTCCCATTTCCTGAGGCCCCGGCGGATCGCGGCCGGCCCCAGGCGGCGACGCCCTAAGAAGACGTAGTAGGCGGCGTAGAGGGAGAAGAGGCAGTACAGCGCGATGAGAAACGAGCAGAACCGTTTCCGCGTCAGCCGCATCCCACTCAGGCTTCCTGTCAGGCCGCCACCGCCACGGAGCCGGGCGGGAAAAGAAGGCGCAGGGCAACCCCGCGACCCTGTTGGCGGCCGGTGCAGGCCCCGGAACCGGCGGAGGGAGTCCTCAGAGCCGGCCCCGCCCTCGACCCCGCCCGGCCCCGCTCGCGGCTCCTCCCTCCAGGCCCCGCCCAGGTCCAACTAGGCCACGCCCCACGTCCGGGTTCCGCCCCTTCAGGGACAGGAGACCCTACCTGACTCCTGCTCTGGAATGGGGAATTAGGAGATGGCCCCTAAGTGGGAGCCTGTCTCTCCTCCGCAGTGCATCCACCACACCTTTCTTTACACCCAGGCGGCCTCCCTCGTGTACATAAGCACCCAGGGGAAAGAAACAGCAACTGCCTGGTCTCTGAAGGCCACGTGTTCAACGTGGAATCCCTAGCTCCTAGGACAGGGCTTGCGACATTGAAAGATGAGTGAATATAACCGTCCTCTAAAAA